ACTATGCTAACGAGTATGTCCGAAAATTAATTACACGGTATTTCGTATTATTTCCTTTTTGGTTTATATTTACTCAAAAATGAATAAATGGACATTAAAGGATCCATTTCCTCTTTTCTCTTCCTCCTTTAATTTCGGCCATAACAACAATGGAAAATTAATTCTAAAATAATTCGCGAATATTAAAATAAAAAATTTTGCATATATACGTACACTACGAAGGTTTTAACTGTGCTTTTATTTCCTTCTTATGGATCCGTCATTTCTAAGGACTCTTTACCTCCAAGATAAAACGGATCCATTTTCCCCTTCACCCCTCATCTTCTATTTTTTATATAATCCGAGGAAATTAGATTTCGACGAATTCCATTATGTACACGAATAAAAAGCGGTGCATTGATCTTATATAAGTTAAAAATCTCTTATGCGACCGTCTCTCTACCCGATCGCGAGCGAATCCTCATACGTTAAATTGGATTTGCCTAATCGCGTTACTCGTCTTCGAGCTGCTTTTCGCAGTGGAATCGAGTCATTCGAGTCTCGTGCCAGGCCAGGTTCGCTTCAAAGCACCGAGAAACCGGAACATTTTGTCGACGAACCGAAAAGGTCGACAACATGACAAAGAAGTTCGAGTTCAATTGGCGGGTCGAAGTGCCGGAACTGCTGAGAAACGGTTCGACGTTCGATCGGTGGTTCGAAGACAAGGAAACGACGGAGTACGAACCGAACTGCTTATTCAAAGTCGACGAGTATGGGTTCTTTGTCTATTGGAAGAGCGACGGCAAGGTAGAGTCTTCGAATCGCTATTTGTTCGCCATTTAAAGCATAAGTTTAGAGTAAGGACATTTCGCCATTTCACCGGAGAGTTTTCATTTTACGAAACTAAATATGGTGAGAAAATAGGAATAATAGTAGCTCTAGAAAAATTAAATACTCCATCAATGTTATTACTTTTTTATTTAATTTAAAGCATAAGTTTAGAGTAAGGACATTTAGCCATTTCAAGAAAGAGGTTTTCATTTTACGAAACTAAATATGGTGAGAAAATAGGAATAATAGTAGTTCTAGAAAAATGAAATATTCCATCAATGTTATTACTTTTTTATTTAATTTAAAGCATAAGTCTAGAGTAAGGACATTTCGCCATTTCACCGGAGAGTTTTCATTTTACGAAACTAAATATGGTGAGAAACTAGGAATAATAGTAGTTCTAGAAAAATGAAATATTCCATCAATGTTATTACTTTTTTATTTAATTTAAAGCATAAGTTTAGAGTAAGGACATTTAATAAATCTAGAGTAAGGACATTTCGCCATTTCAAGAAAGAGGTTTCTATTTTATGAAACTAAATCCGATGAGAAAATGGGAATAACAGTAGTTCTAGAAAAATGAAATATTACATCAATTTTAATATTTTTTTGTTACCATTTGCACTCCGAGCAATTTTTAATATGACCTACCAGCAACTCCGAGTCATTTTACCTTTCCTGTTAGCTTTTATAGTACCATATTTACCAGTCAAGTAGCATTTCATTATCATCAATTCTTCTGCCAAAGGTATACTGGTATAATATCTACCAGGAAACATATAGTAATCCTGTGCTTCGGGAATTTTATCTAACAATATTTGATATGAATCCAGCGGAATTCTAGTGCCTCAGTAGCGGCAACAGAGTTGCAGGCTATCTTAGAATGTCGCCATAGTGGCGACAACAGAGTACAAAGGGTTAATAAACGTTTAACAGGGGGAAGGGTCCGCATGACAGCTAACTGTGACGTGAACGGAACGGCACGTTGAACGCCACGTCGGTCCCTAGGACCGGCGCAAGACTTTCTATTCAGGCCCGCCGGTCCGTACGGCCCGGAAGGGCCCGCATGGCGGCTAACTGTGACGTGAACGCAACGGCACGTAAAATTGGCGTGGCGTTTAACACGTTAAGTGCCCAGCCTGTTTTACTTACCGTTCCATTTAGGCCCAAACTCGGCCGTCAAGTGGGCCACCGGCAGTTGACTATGTGTTCATAAAACTCGAAGATACTGTTCCAATTTTTATAACAGGAATTCCCAAATGTTGGGTCCAAAGATGGCGAAGAATTTAACACCAAAATTAGCACCTTTTGGTCCTAGTCTGGGTCAAACCAGAACGGAAAGTCTAACGTCGGTCCCTGGGGACCAGCGTGGCATTTAACGTGTTAAAGAAATTTTGTTTAAACGCTTGTAAAAATTATAACAGGGTATTTTACTTGGTGAAACTATTACAATATAAGTAAAAATATTCATAGAAAAAGGAATTAAATATCGTGTTTCTTTTATTATCAATAGTTCAGTTGATTGAATATTGATTAATTAATAAACATAAACATTTTTATACAGGACGGTGACGTGATAGAATTGGCTCAAGTGAGTGACATTCGTTATGGCGGCACTCCGAAGGTAAATAACACTGTAATCGTTAATAATGAGTTATTTAATTCGCTTAAAATTCGCCAATTCTAGGATTTAATATTTCCGTTGATCATTTAGGATCCTAAGTTGTGTAATAAAATAAGTAAACACGGGTCGATGGACGATATAGATCAGAAAAGCTTAACCATATGCTCGGGTATCGACTATACTAATATCCATTATCAGCACGTTGTCTGTGCAGACGCACAAACTGCCAAGGTAACGAGATTACGATTAATTATAAAATTAATTGTCAAAAAAGTAATAAAATATTTTCTTGTACTTTTTCCATTATCGTTATTATTATCATTAACTATCATTCATAGTGAATTTCCTAAATGTTCCTAATTCGCCTGATTTAGGACTGGCAAGCTGGTTTACGATTAATCACGCACAACACGAAAGCTTCAAACGTTTGTCCAACTATACAATTGATGAAACAGTATGCAACTATTATGTCGATCTTATTATTTCATCCCTTTGCACTCGATTTATTTTCAAAATTGTTAGGTGTCAACTTGTATTTATTTTTAGCTAAATGAATTAAAGTAATTTACAGTGGTAGAATTCAACGTGTTATATTTATTTCTGTATATCGTCAATAGGTCGACCGCAATTGGCGACGGTTAATGACGAACCAAATCTCTTGAGGAACGTTGTGTTTTTAGTGGACTCTATATTTTGTAATTGTTCCGGTTAACTCTTCTGAACTCTTCGAATGTTATTTGCTGACTGACTGGTACTGACCTAACTAACTTGTGCGATGCACGATCTTTCGGAGCCCATGGTTTCCAAAGGGAAATCGGTTTTCCCATTGGTGGTTGACAGGACCGAGGGTGGGCCCTCGGTCCGCGAATCAGATGCCCCCAAAGAAGGGAGGACCGTCTTCCGCGACCAGGTCTGCCGGTGGAGGAAGCCTCTCCCTCAAAGGGGGTTGCTGGTGGGCCACCCGCACATTCGTGATCCTTCCTGAAGGACCCGTTACTTTATGGCTCCGAAAGTCGCGACATCGCACATGGCCTGGTCCCTTTCTTTGCAGGCCTATCGTCAGCCAAATCCTAAGTGCTGTTGCCTGCTTTCTAACATTAATGGCTAAAGAAAGCCTCGTGTCCGGTGACCCGAGGGAAATAAAGAATAGTTTGAAAATGCATTGAAAATGAAGATAGAAAGGACACGGAACTTGAACTAAAACAGCAATTAGAATCTGGCTGCCAGAAGACCCTAACGGTCTTCTGGGTCTATTCTAATCAAGGGCTGAACAAAATACCGGCACGACCTTCCAAGGCTTAACAATTTCATTTATTTTTGTTGCGAATTTCGTGGAAGAAATAGCCAAATGATTAACGTGCAGGGAAGTAACCTTATTCAGTTATACAGCAATTGTATTTATAAAGGTTTAATATACGTGAAATTTATACATTTTATGCAGTATACAAATAAAATACTAGAGTCTTTCTTAATGCCACTGTGGATCACAATATATAAAGTATCTGTACTGTTCCTGATCTGGGAGTGAAGAGCTCCAAGGGACAGCAGGCCCTTTTAAACCCCCAAAACCGACCCCTTGATGTCCAAAGGTCGGTATTCGCCTGCAACCTGTAACAAGCCTGTCGTCATCGTTGCATGGGCGTAGCTGACTTCCAACAATTTTTATTATTATAAATTAATATGTCAGTTTTAGAGGAAATTAGTATTGTCACCTGCAGCGTCACATACGAGTTTTAGGGTAAATTAGCATTGTCACCTCTAGCGTGACATACGAGTGCAAAGGGTTACAACCGAGGGAACGGAATATCGATGGACATTAAATTGTACGTTTATTAATCAGTTGGATGAGGTTGAGCTTCCAAGTGGATCCAAAAGGAAAAGTGCCGGTGAAAGTTATATCGAAGACTTTCGCCTCTGGGAAAACGGAAAAACTCGTTTATCAAGGACTGGCAGACATGGGCTTACCTAGTGGAAAGGTAAGCTTCTCCGATGTAATCTTATTCTTACAAAGCTCTGCATCATAGACAATGCTAATTATTTCTGTATTGCAAAGAGTCGAGAAGAATAACGCTATCGTGGAAAATGTCTTCGTGGTTAATTTTATATTTCGTAAATATCTGAAAAATATTTCTCATATTATTCGGATTCGTATTAATATATGTATTAATATTATTTCACGTTGATATTTGTAGCTTATAATGTTAATAAAATTATTCGCATTATTTAGATCTACGAAAAGATATCAAATTTGCGATGAAGAATAGTAAGAAAAATTTGTACTATTTAATCCTGTAATGCAATATTAAATCTGAGGTAAAGGAAATAGGAAAAATCAGAAAAATTTGTATCATTTAAATCTGTAATAAAATATTAAATTTCAGATAAAGAAATAAGAAAAACTTGAATCATTTAGATCTGTAATTCGCGATAAAGAAAATTTGAAATATAGGAAAAATAAAAATTGAAGAATCGTCATTTTCAGAATGATAAAATCGAACTGAAAGGTTTTACGTTCGAAAAATTTAAGGAAAATAAGAAAATTTGTATCATTTAGATCTATAACGGAGTATTAAATTTGCGACAAAGAAAATTTAAAACGTAGGAAAAATAAAAATTGAAGAATCGTCATTTTCAGAATGATAAAATCGAACTGAAAGGTTTTACGTTCGAGAAATTTAAGAAAAATAAGGAAATTTGTATCATTTAGATCTATAACGGAGTATTAAATTTGCGACAAAGAAAATTTAAAACGTAGGAAAAATAAAAATTGAAGAATCGTCATTTTCAGAATGATAAAATCGAACTGAAAGGTTTTACGTTCGAGAAATTTAAGAAAAATAAGGAAATTTGTATCATTTAGATCTATAACGGAGTATTAAATTTGCGACAAAGAAAATTTAAAACGTAGGAAAAATAAAAATTGAAGAATCGTCATTTTCAGAATGATAAAATCGAACTGAAAGGTTTTACGTTCGAGAAATTTAAGAAAAATAAGGAAATTTGTATCATTTAGATCTATAACGGAGTATTAAATTTGCGACAAAGAAAATTTAAAACGTAGGAAAAATAAAAATTGAAGAATCGTCATTTTCAGAATGATAAAATCGAACTGAAAGGTTTTACGTTCGAGAAATTTAAGAAAAATAAGGAAATTTGTATCATTTAGATCTATAACGGAGTATTAAATTTGCGACAAAGAAAATTTAAAACGTAGGAAAAATAAAAATTGAAGAATCGTCATTTTCAGAATGATAAAATCGAACTGAAAGGTTTTACGTTCGAGAAATTTAAGAAAAATAAGGAAATTTGTATCATTTAGATCTATAACGGAGTATTAAATTTGCGACAAAGAAAATTTAAAACGTAGGAAAAATAAAAATTGAAGAATCGTCATTTTCAGAATGATAAAATCGAACTGAAAGGTTTTACGTTCGAGAAATTTAAGAAAAATAAGGAAATTTGTATCATTTAGATCTATAACGGAGTATTAAATTTGCGACAAAGAAAATTTAAAACGTAGGAAAAATAAAAATTGAAGAATCGTCATTTTCAGAATGATAAAATCGAACTGAAAGGTTTTACGTTCGAGAAATTTAAGAAAAATAAGGAAATTTGTATCATTTAGATCTATAACGGAGTATTAAATTTGCGACAAAGAAAATTTAAAACGTAGGAAAAATAAAAATTGAAGAATCGTCATTTTCAGAATGATAAAATCGAACTGAAAGGTTTTACGTTCGAGAAATTTAAGAAAAATAAGGAAATTTGTATCATTTAGATCTATAACGGAGTATTAAATTTGCGACAAAGAAAATTTAAAACGTAGGAAAAATAAAAATTGAAGAATCGTCATTTTCAGAATGATAAAATCGAACTGAAAGGTTTTACGTTCGAGAAATTTAAGAAAAATAAGGAAATTTGTATCATTTAGATCTATAACGGAGTATTAAATTTGCGACAAAGAAAATTTAAAACGTAGGAAAAATAAAAATTGAAGAATCGTCATTTTCAGAATGATAAAATCGAACTGAAAGGTTTTACGTTCGAGAAATTTAAGAAAAATAAGGAAATTTGTATCATTTAGATCTATAACGGAGTATTAAATTCGCGATAAAGGAAATTTGAAATATGGGAATAATAAAAATTAAAGAATTGTCATTTTCAGAGTGATAAAATCGAACTGAAATGTTTTACGTTCGAAAAATTTAAGAAAAATAAGAAAATTTGTATCATTTAGATCTATAACGGAGTATTAAATTCGCGATAAAGGAAATTTGAAATATGGGAATAATAAAAATTTAAAAAATGTGATTTTCAGAGCGATAAAATCGAGCCGAAAGATTTCACGTTCGAGAAATTCAAGAACTTGTACTTCAAAATCTGCCCAAGGAACGATATAGAAGAATTATTTCAATCCATGTAAGTACCTGTTACATCGTGACGTAATCGTGCCGTAAATCTTCCAGGATAACGAATTATCATGCTACAAATGGTATGTTTCAGAACAAAAGGAAAATCGGATACGATCACCCTGGCACAATTAGTGCAATTTATGAACGAGAAACAAAGGGACCCTCGGCTGAACGAAATTTTATATCCACTTTACGACGAGAAACGATGCACCGAGATAATCAACGATTACGAGATGGATGAGAAAGCAAGGGATTCGAGTAAGTTTGCTTTACGAAACAATTTATCCTATCAATCGTGAAATTTTAATCACCTGCTTGTACTGTAATCGTCCTGTTAATCCATTCCCCTATATTTCAAAAAATTTCCTTGTAACATGTAAATGCTGCAAATTACATTTTATCCTTTTCACCTGTTAATCAATTCTTCTATATTTCGAAAATTTTCTTTTAAAATGTAACTGCAGCAAATTATATTTTATATTTTTTATCTGTTAATCAATTCCCCGATATTTTGAAAATTTTCTTTTAAAATGTAAATGCAGCAAATTACATTTTATATCTTTCATCTGTTAATCAATTCCTCTGTATTTTAGACAATTTTCTTATAAAATATAAATGCAAATTACATTTTACATTTTTCATCTGTTAATCAATTTTTCTATATGTCGAAAATTTTCTCTTAAAATGTAAATGCAGCAAATCATATTTTATATTTTTTATCTGTTAATCAATTAGTCTTTATTTCAAAAAATTTTCTTGTAAAATGTAAATACAAATTATATTTTTTATTTTTCACCTATCAATCAATTCTCCTATATTTCAAAAATTTTCGTGCAAAATGTAAATGCAGTAAACTACATTTTACATTTCTCACCTGTTAATCAATTCCTGTATATTTCGAAAATTTCCTTCCGAAATATAAATGCAGTAAATTACATTTTATATTTTTCATCTGTTAATCAATTAATCTTTATTTCAAAAAATTTTCTTGTAAAATGTAAACACAAATTATATTTTTTATTTCTCACCTATCTATCAATTCTCTTATATTCCAAAAATTTTCGTGCAAAATGTAAATGCAGTAAACTACATTTTACATTTCTCACCTGTTAATCAATTCCTCTATATTTCGAAAATTTCCTTCCAAAATGTAAATTCAGTAAATTACATTTTATCCCTTTCACCTGTTAATGAATTCCTCTATATTTTAAAAAATTTCCTTATAAAATGTAATTACGAATTATATTTTATATTTTTCCTCTGTTAATCAGTTCCCCAATATTCCAAAAAATTTTCGTGTAAAATGTAAATGCAGCGAAGTACATTTTATCTTTCTCATCTGTATCGCGTGAAAAGTCACAAATTGATATAATGTAACAAAAATTATTGGCTCACGTGCAACTCCAAAAAATAAAATTAATAAGTTTAGAACACGGTCAAAGGTAATGAATGGAAAAATTAATAGACGATAAAAGTGATGAAAAAATTTAACCACGATCGTTTTAAAAATGAAATTAACATCTTCAGAATACGATCAAAGGTAATCGTTTAAAAAATTAATTTTACACAGAAACGAAGATAATTTAGCAAATGTTCGAATTTCAAAATAAATGTAAATAATTCGAAATAAAATAATCGTACAATTATTTGATACAAAGCAAGGATTATAATTTGGAATTATACATGTAGGATCGGATTTTGAGTGAATTGACCTAAGATAGTACTGTTGGCTTTTTAATAGAATAAAATAAGCTTATAAATAGAATGATGGCTATGAAACAAGAGAGATTCGCTATTCTGATCTTTCTTAGACTGACTTGGACTTCTTACATACTCTCTGACTGACACACTGACACACTCTTAAAGACTGCGAAAAGACTGGCTTAAAAAATTCTTTAACACTGACTTGCCCTCACCCTTGCACCCTTATTTAAACCATTTATTCTCCCCTTTTTCATACCCAGGCTTTCCTTCCCAATCATGCCCCTTTCCCACGCAACCTCGGTGGGCCAGGCACTATGGGTGGCTGAAAAGAAGTCATCTGAGAAACTTGTAGGACCGAATCCCCACCATTCTAACGTCATGGCAGAAATACCCCTGTTGCCCTGCAACCGAACGAGATGACTTCTTCTCAGCCACGCATAGTACTCTGCGTTGCATGAAAGAACTCATCTGAGAAACTTGTAGGACCGAATCCCCACCAGCCCAACCATTCTAACATCATGGAAGAAGTAGTGTAAAACGCTTCCCTTATTGGTAGAACTGATCCCTTCCTATTAGCCCGGTCATAGAACACCATGTGACAAAGAAAGCGAACAAAGCAACGAGACAAAGTGAGGCAGACGCAAAAAATAGATGCAAGAGCGTAGACTCATCCCAAAGCGTAGTAGTGCTTCCAATTCATTGTAAGTTAACTCTGAGATAACATTTCTTTCGCGGATATCTTACGCCTATGTTAACGTTTCACGTTAGCGAACTTGGAAATAGTAGTTTTGGGAGTGTCATAGAAAAGTGGGTATTACTAACGAGAGTATAAGCGGTGCAATACCCTTCTTGCTCCGCAACCGAACGAGTTGACTTCTTCTCAGCCACGCACAGTACTTCAACCACTCTGGACGCATCCCTAAATTTTCATTCGACTCTACCACAAATATTCTTTGCAGTCAATCCTCTTGCACGCGATCACTTTCGTTCTAAAACGCTCTTGACATTTTTTCAGGGCCGTACTTACCCCAATCCTACATACACAGATTTGTAATCCCGAATTGTGATTCGCATTTTTGCACCGGAGTTAATTATCTTCGCGTTTTATCTCTGCCTTCGCAAAACCGTCTTTAAAGAAAGTTTCTCGACTTTTATCTTTCATTTCGTAATGCTGCGAGCCTCGCTCACTGTTTGACAATATTACGCGTAAATCCTCGGTAAATGGGAAAAATAATTTTCCAGGATTTCAGATATAAAATCGGGAATTCGATATGGTTTATCAGAGGACGGAAGGGATTTATGAAAATTTATGCGCTCGCGTGTACGTCTCGTTTTAATCTACGTTAATGGTATCCGTAAAAATGCGTGCAAATGCACGATATGCGTCACTTTCTATTTATGCGCGGGAATATAATAGCTTGAATAAAAGAAGGTGCATTCTCTGCGGGATACGCAGCTCCTCTTTACAAAATTCATGCCATATTCAAAGATGGAGCTTGATACGGCTACAAATTACTTTTATTGCTCCCAACGCGATTTTTGTTTGATGCATTGCTAGCAGAGTCACAACTAAACGTGTTAGGGACATAACCTCTCTGTTATGCGTAGAATGCTTGACCAAGGAGGGCTTTGTTCGTTATTTGATGTCGGACGAAAATGCACCGGTGTTTTTGGACAAATTGGAAGAATGGATGGACATGGACCAACCCCTTTCGCATTATTACATCAATTCCAGCCACAATACCTATCTCAGTGGAAGACAAATCGGTGGTAAGAGTACCGTCGAGATGTACAGACAAGTTTTGTTAGCTGGTTGCAGGTAATTATTGATTTTCCTTTATTAGTAATTTGGTGAAATTTGAAATTTTAAACACGCTGAATTTATTTGGATTTTATAAAATTCGAAAAAGAAAATTATACTTAAATTGCTGGAAATTTTACAATTGATAGCAGAGATTAATTTATGAAGAATTATTTAAATAGAGGGTTATAATTATAAATATCAATGTTCTTAATTATAAATTTATAAATATAGAAGTAAGGTGTAAGTTTTATTAAAGCTTCTATAAAATTCAAAGATGAAAATTCTACTGAAATTACTGCAAATTTTAGAATTGATAGTATAGATTAGTTTATAAAGAATTATTCAAGTAGTATGCTATAATTATAAATTTTTAATTACAAACTTTGATACTTATGAGTATAAAAGTGATATGTAAGTTTTATTAAAGAATCTATAAATTTCAGAAAAGAGAATTTCATTCAAAGAATTGCTAAAAATTTCGCTGTTGATGAATTTATAAAAATTAATTAATACTAAATTAATACTTAAAGTTAATTAATTTAATTAATTAATTAATAAAGGATTCTCCAATTAATTTATAAAGGATTCTCCAATTAGTGTGCCATAATTACAGTTTTTTAATTACAAACATTGATATTTATGAGTATAAAAGTAATATATGAATTTAAATAAATTCTATTACATATTTTACTTTACATTTAGTTGTATTTAACAGTATAACTATCAATTTGAAAGACGTATATAAATAATATTAATTAAAGCGCTATTTGAGAATCAAAATTCTGAAACCAATCATTTCGACTGGTTTGAGAGTTTTAGTATTAGATTATAACATTGTTCAACAGAAAGTTTAATCTTCACTATCTATTCCTGGAAAGGAATCTGTAATCAAAGTTCCATTATCACCCTCAGTTTCCGAAAAATGTGAGTTTTTCCAAAAACGCATGATTTTTGGTAAAAATGAAGTATTACATCAAAAGTGAGAAGGATAGGAGGTTCATTCTCACCTTTAAGCTTAGGTGAGAGTATCCCGAATCAATCAATATCCATAATTATAATTATTCTGGATCATTATAATTGGTCATCGACGTTTAAAAAGACACCTCCGAGCGTATTTTCTACGCACATTCTTACATTTTTACAAAAAGCCCTTCGTTTGATACGAATTTGCTACGCAATATCGTATACTGTAGGCAATTTGTTTATAATTTTGTTCATAATTAAATATTTTCACGTAAGATCACAGAACGTGGCAGTATCGCTGCTCAGTATGGTAGCCATCACGATCAATCGGTTTGTAACCTCAAATATGTATAATACATTTAGTATAAACTTAGCATAGAATCATTATAGGCTGATTCTTTTCCATTTACATATTTCTAACGATTCGTGATAACACGAGACACCTGTTTCAACAATCATTGATTAATGTCACTGTTCCTGATTTAGTTTATTCTAAATTGTGCTGACGAATTACATTCCCGATTTTACAAACTCAGCATGCTTCTATGGAAGCTAATCGTCTATTGCTCATCTGAAATAGGATCAAATGTACACATGATAAATTCAATACCGACAGCTGCTCTTGAAGTTGTATTACGTTATCGACCGTATCGAATTTATATCGACAGAAAAATAAGGGTTTCATTTAGTGATTGAAAGCTATGAATAGACTAATGTTTATAGTTTAATAATTATATAAGATAATTAGCATATCTTGGATGTGCTATAACATTTTCCTTAATTTGTACTAATTTAAACTGAGATTGTAAAAATTGGAGAATCAAAGAGATCTTTAAATTTTTACTTATTTCCATTTTTGTATAATTAGAAATTTTTTAGTTATAATTAGACACATTATTCTATTCTTACAAAAGCTATAGTAAATACAACAATTAATAATAAATTGATAATAAATTAAAAAATTTCCAATTTAAATGGAATTTAAATTATTGAAATAACTCTATGTTTCAGGTACATACTAATCTCGAGGTCAGAGATATATGCTCAATTGTACACCACGCAGAGAATAATTTTAATGCTGATTGCCATATGGACTTTAAGTTTCTCACTGCTTCTACCGCCATTGCTTGGTTTTTGGGGAACATTGGGTCTAGAACCGTCCACATTTTCCTGTACAATCCTGAAAAAGAATGGAAACAGCCCAAAGAAATTTCTATTCGTTCTGGGTTTTATAGTGCCTTGCGTTGTCATCAGTGTTTCATACCTCTGCATTTATTGGCGGGTAAGGAAGAGTAGGAGGAATCTAGAGGCGCACTCTGGCATCTCCAGGAGGAAAGCTGGAGGGTTTCAACGCCGAGAAGATTCTAGAGTGACCAGGCTGATGTTGACTATATTTTTGTGCTTCCTTCTGTGTTTTATGCCACTGATGTTGGCCAACGTGATCGACGACAAGATAAAAATTCCGATTCTGCACGTGATTGGGTCTGTACTGGCATGGGCATCTTCTGTAATTAATCCTTTCATTTATGCTGGCACTAATAAACTTTATAGAGAGGCCTACAAACAGGTTCTGTGTCCAGTCTCTAGTAAAACACCGACCATTGGACCGAAACCGACGCACTCGCATTCCAGTAAAGTATCCTCACCTCAAGCAACTTGAAGTTTCGTGATGTTACTCGATTCGATGGAACCTTGCTCTTTTAAAGCATTTATTGTCGTTGGATAAACAGTGGTGGTTATTGTGATTTAGGTATAGTGGAAGATGCTTGAAGTTGAACGATATGAATATTGAGGGTTTTGTATTATATGTGAATTATTGGAAATGGGGCCGATAACAGTGAAGAAATTTGCGAAATGAATTATTTCTGGTATTTCAATTTTTTTATAACGTATAGTAGTAATGGATAGCATTAAATATACAATCTTTATTGAAGCTGTATATTTTATTTGAAAGCAATTTATGTTAATTTTTTATCCTGGTAACTTGCCCCGAATTAATTAACAACTTTTAGAAATGCACAAATGGAAGTGGATGAACAAATGCTTGTAAGCAGCAATAAATGTATGTAATTATACTATCCAAGAAATTTCAATTTTCCCTCAAATCTGTAATATCCATCGAGTAACTTTTCTAGAGCTTACCTTCTTGAATATGAATCTGCAAATAAAATTCCTTTATTACCGTCCGTTGCCAAATAATTTGAGTTCTGTTTTACCCACGACATCGTGTTTCGCTGCTACATATTCGGTTTTCTGTATTATTAGTTCACGAAGAAGAGGGTAGATGGAACTACATTACAGTGTACCTTGTACCATATGTAGATATATCGCAGCTTGAGAATAATGTTGCAGAGCCACATAGATTTAATGAATAAAATACATTTTACACATTATGTAAGTGTATATTAAAGAGTTTGCATTCCACTTTTGTAATTCGTATAATTCTATCGATAATTAATTATCACGTTAAGGAAATTTCCTTATAATTATTTTTCAAAGTAAACATAATTTTTATTAAAAATCCAAAAGTAGGTTATTCTCTTTATGTTTTGATTCTTGTAACACGAATTTTCAAGAATTTTATTTTTAGAAATTTTGTGCTGATAAAATGTAGACATAGTTAAATAATTAGTTCTTAGATGGCAGCACGTACAATGGCTAGAAATTTCTCTTCAGGTATTATCATTCTTGACGAGAAGTCAAATAATTGTAAATAGATCAAATAAGTGTTAATTATGCTTTAATTGTTGTTTGAGTTTAATTAAGTCCTTAGTATATATATATTTATGGATTTCTGAAAGTCTGTAGTAAAAAAATTGGTAGGAATTCATAGCCACTGCCATCTGCTAATGACAGCCTGAAACATCTAATGAAGTAGCCATCTGAAGTAGTCATCTATGATTTTGTATCGTAAGTTCCTAAAGCTTTTCGGAGCTTCGGGTAAAAAATCAAAGAATTTCTGAACTTTTATAATTGCATCGTAAGGAGGAACTCTGAAAGAACTTTATAATATTATTTCAGATATAAATACCTCGTTAATTAATTAATTATTAGAAATTATTCCACGAGGTGTTTGAACTAATCCTGAACATACTAATAGTTTCTCATTAATTACTATCTTCTATGCAATTAATTTGTAACTTTCATTCGCTCATTATGAAAACAATATTCGTACGCGTGTTCTCTTATCACATTTGTTAACAATTTGTTTCTAGTTTTGTTCATAATTAAATATTTTCACGTAAGATTACGACGCTCGTTGTTACAAAATTCCGCACGCCTTCAAATAATAATTTATAGCAAGCTAATTAGCATCAAATTGATCTATAAATAAGCATAAGAGTGTTGCCTATAGTTCCAGCCATACGATGCAACTATAAATGTTCATGAATTAATTACAGAAATTGAGTAATTTGTGATTTTTCACTGTCGCATCGTCTCCTATCCTTTTCTAACTGCTTACTGTCCTTGTCTATCACGTGACGAGGTTTATAGTTCCAAGAAATTACGTCATTTCCAAGAATTCTCTGGATAATATTTTTACAGCTTTGGCGAAAAATTTGTGGCCAATTTCGTGATTTTGTATTAGGATAACATAACAAGAAAGGAGGTCGCTCGCCGAGACAGTTCCTAGAAATGACGTCATTTCCAAGAATTCTCGGACAATACTTTTGTGGCCTCGAGGAAAAGCTTCTGGCCGATTTCGCGATTTTGTATCAGGAGAACATAACATGAGAAGAGGTAAACCGTCGAGACATTTCCAAGAAATGACGTAATTTCTAAGAATTCTCAGTCAATGACTTTGCTGCCTCGAAGAAAAATTTGTGGCCGATTTCGCGATTTTGTATCAGGAGAATATGATATGACAGGAGGTCGCTCGTCGAGTCAGTTCCAAGAAATGACGTCATTTCCAAGAATTCCCCGGACAATACTTTTTCCGCTTCCGGACAATACATTTCCCTCTTCTGGACAATACCTTTCCCGTTTCTGGACAATACTTTTTCCGCTTCTGGACAATACTTTTCCCGCTTCTGGACAATACTTTTCCCGTTTCTGGACAATACTT